CGCCCCCGCGGCCTTACGCCACATGCAGCTTTACAAGGAGGCAGCAGCTAAGATTCCCGCCTCTGGGGCTGATGTTCCAGGGCAGGGAGACAGACAGTGGGATGGCGTGTGAGGTGGTGCTAGAGGGGAGATGGGCTCTGGGGTGGGAGGAGGCCGAGCCGCTCAGGCTCCCAGCACACTGCACCCTCAGCCACCCCAGCCCTGCACACACTCCTTGGCCTGGCCGCTCTGAATACTGGCTGCCCAGCAGGCTCAGGGAGCCGACCCTCCCATCCCTCTGCTGGAGCTGTGGCTGTTAGTGTGGAGGAGGGTGGTCTGCAGCCAGGCCCCCTGCCTGGGGCTGTTGGCACACAGCAGGGGGTTCGGGTGGAGTGTGGAGCCCTGCACCTCAGAACTGCCAGTGGTGCCCCTGCTCACTGGGCTGCAGAGGTCTGTGTCCTTCTGTGAAGCTGCTTCTGTGTCAGAACGGAGCTTGATGCTACTTTAGCCCATTCCTGGGGAGTCACTGGGAAGACGGGGTTCTCCCTTGTGAGGGGGCTGCCGAGGGGTGGGGTGTGTGGTCTTTAGGATGAGAACGTCTGGCATCCATGCTTGGGGATCACAGGTGGGTCCCCTTAGATGCAGGCAGGGCCCCTGGGAAACAGCAGGACAGAGGACCCTCCTTCAGAGTTGGCCCCTTGTGCGTGAGTGACCCATCGGCCTCTGCTTCCTCCTGCAGTTCTGATGCCCTTGCTCGAGTGCTGCAGCGTTCGGCCGGACACCGCCGTCGCCTGTCACCCCTTCTTTGGACCCAATTCCGAAATAAGGTAAAGACTGGAAGACCCCCCAAGGGGCACAGATGTGGCATGTGCATAGTACAGGCTGTCTGCATGTCTGCGGGCCTGGCCTGTTGGACATGGAGCTGGCGGCATGTGAGCAACCTGCAGCCCAAAGCACAAGGCTTCCCGATGTGGGGGGCAGGGCATGGGTGCCCTATGTTCTTTCTGTATTTTTTGTTCCTGTTAAGGAACTCATACTTAGTAACGACCACATGCAATGTTCAGAAGTGAGCACCTGCGCCCCATCTCTGGGCAGTGGCATATCCCAGGTTGGCAGCCCTCTGGGCAGCCTCCGCTCACTTCAGGCTTTGGGCACACCCCGGCTGTGCCCAGCATGTGCCAGCAGGCACCTGGAGGCCTGGACCTGGGTGGGGGGATATGCTTACAGGCCCTGCCTTCCCGCAGCCAGCCCCCTGCGCTGAGCCAGCTGGTGAGCCTGTACCTCGGGCGGTCCCACTTCCTCTGGAAGGAGCCCGCCATCATGAGTTGGCTGGAGGAGAATGTCCGTGAGGTCCTACAGGCAGTGGATGCTGGGGACCCCGCCGTGGAAGAGTGTGAGAACAGGTGAGACTGGGGCTGGGGCAGCTGGACAGCTTTTGGCCTGATAGGTCCACAGGAGAAAAATGAGGGCGCTCTACTCGGGAATCTCGATCATGAATGTGGGTTTGAGGAGGGCTCCATTCCATGACTGTCTTTTTTCTCCCCGGGCCCAGGCGGAAGGTGCTCTACCAGCGTGCGCCCAGAAATATCCACCGTCACGTGGTCCTCTCTGAGATCAAAGAAGCTGTGGCTGCGCTGCCCCCGGTAAGGAGCGGGGCTGCAGTGGGAGCTGGTGGGAGCTGGCCCCTCCCCTCAGGGCCTCGCAACCTATAGTCTACTGCTCTGAGCTGCTGACATCCTGGGCAGAGATTGCGGCATTGTGTGATGGTGATGGTGTGTCCCACCCTCACCCAAAGCCTGGGGCACAGTAAACACAGCTTGGCCGCTGGGGTCAGTCCAGCAGAAAGGCCCAATCCAGACCAGAATCTGCTGACAGGCCGCGGAGAGTGGAGCAGAGGCAAGCACAGGGCTCGGCTGCATCTCCGTTCTCTGTCTCGTTCTGCAGGATGTGACCACGCAGTCTGTGATGGGCTTTGACCCTCTGCCTCCTTCAGATACCATCTACTCCTACACCAGGCCAGAAAGGTACCTGTCCACCGCTCCTGCTGCCTTTGCATTCTGGCTCTCAGATCAGTGCTTTGGGCCGGGGACTTGCTGCCTCCTCCAGACACAGGCTCTCAGAGCAGAGTGATTTGGGGTCATGGGTCAGCGTTTCCAGGCGTGGGTGCTTTCCATGTATTTGTCTGACTAGGAGCATCGCTCTGTCAGGTTCTGTGGCAGGTGCTGCACATACAGTGGGAAGCAGTAAGGACACCTCTGCCCTGGTGGCATGTCCAATGCAGTGGGGGAAACACGTCAGGTATAGAATCTGGAAACTGCCACCAGGAACTGCTGAGAGTGGAGGGTACACTGAGATTTGGGGTGCCCTAGCCAGGTAAAGAAGTGACATCGGAAGGTGGCTGGGCCAGGGAAGCAGGGCCACGTCCACAGCTGCTGGGTGTGTGTGGACGGCTCCCTTTCTCCTTCTGGCCTTTAAGGCTGAGGAATTGCCTACCCAGAGCCCTCACCATGTCCTAGATCTGGAAGAGGCACCAACAAGTGGTCCCACTTAAGGGAGCATGAGCTTTCAGATCTCAAAAGAGCACGTTTTGTAGAAGTCCTTTTTTCCTCACCAAAGTATAAGGTTGGATTGCTTAGTCATAGGTAACAGTTCCCAGTAAACTGCTCCAGTGGAAATTATTGTCAGTGTCATAGGCTCAGGCCGGACCTTTTAGCACTGAGGAGTGGCTGAAGGACTTCAGTGACTCAGCATTGCCCCCCCCACCCCCAGCCGTGTAGACCTTGAGCTTTCAGAGCAAATAAAGGTCACTGCCGAACAGCACCTCCGTGTCTCCTAGAGCTGGGTCGCAGCACCTCATTTCACCAGGAGGGGCCTTCCCTTAATACTTGCCCTCGAATCGCTTTTTTTTTTTTTTTTTTTAAGATACAGTATTTTTATTTATTTCAGAGAGGAAGGGAGAGGGGGAGAGAGAGAGAGAAACATCAGTGATGAGAGAGAATCGTTGGTCAGCTACCTGCACACCCGTACTGGGGATCGCTGCAACAACCCAGGCATGTGCCCTTGACCAGAATCAAACCCAGGACCCCTTCAGGCCACAGGCTGATGCTCTATCCACTGAGCCAAACCGGCTAGGGCCGCTTTTTTTTTTTTTTAATTGATTGTTAGAGAGAGAGAAACATCAATGTGAAAGTGAAACATCAGTCACCTGCCTCTTCCACGCACCCCACTAGGAATGGAGCCTGCTGCTATCTGGGCATGTGTCCTGACTGGGAATCAAACTGGCAACCTTTTAGTGCACAAGACAACACCCAGCCAACTGAGCCACCCTGGCCTGGGCCGGAATCTCTCTATGACCAGTTTCCCGAGTGCTGAAGAACACTTTGCAACCAAATCTTTGCTTATAAGCAAGGCACCTGGCTGTGGTGGGCTATGCTTTCCACTTGGTTCAACAAGCCAGGCTATAAAGGGCCAGCCCCTGGCTCGGGAACAGTCTCCCCGTTGCTCTGGGTGCCGGCAGTACCCCTGAGCTGACTGTGAGTTGTGGCTGCCTGCCCCCTGGGGCTCCAGGCCCCAGCTCAGCCCCGTCTCTCCAGCTGCGGCCTTTCTGTCTCTGCTTCATTTCCTCACTGTTCTTTCTCTTTCAGGCTGAGCCCCGTCAGCCATGGAAACACAATCGCCCTCTTCTTCCGGTCACTTCTGCCCAGTTACACCATGGAGGTAGGTGAGCTCACCTGGCCTCTCTGCTGGCCACTGGGTGCAACAGTCCCTTCAGGTGTGACTGTCCAGAGCACCCAGTCTGCCTAGGAAGCTGGGCGTGGCTGCCAATGGGACACAACACCCCTCAGTCAGCAGGGCTGCTGGATCCCACTCTGGTGGCCTGGCCTTGTTAGGTAGATGCGTGTATATGGCTTCCAGGGGCTGCTGCCTCAACAGGTCTGATTGAGCTCCGTGGGCGTGCCGGGGCCCAGAGAGCCCTGCTCAGATGGGTCTCATTGCCACAGGGGGAGAGGCAAGAGGACGGAGGGGCCGAGGGACTGGACCACAACCAGGGCTTGAACAGGCTGATGCTGGCTGTGCGAGACATGATGGCCACCTTTCACTTCCATGACCCAGAGGCTCCGCATGAGGACCACGCCGAGGGGGACGGGGAGTGGGACTGAGCACACAGCTGCCACACCCACACTGTACAATTATGTTCCTGATCTGTCTGGTCAGAATTGACCAGTTCCCTGAAGTAAAAATGCCATGTCCGTCTGCCTCCCCGTCTCTCCTGTACACGTGAACGTTATGCCTGCGCATGTGAGCTCTTTCCCAAGCTGGGTCCGTGCCCAGCGTGAGGCAGGGGCCCTGTGTGCTTCTGTCGGCCCTGGGGCAGGTCCAGGGCGGGAGGGCAGGCACCAGGTCCCCGGGCTGGGCACACAGGCGGGTCTTTCCAGTCCGACACAACGTTTTTATTGGAAAACACTGAGTCAGGGGAGCCTGCGAGATGATGGCTCAGGAATGGACGGCAGAGATTAGGGGCATTTGATCTGCAGCGTGACCAGAACATGGAGGCAGGCTTGTTGGCAGGTTGGCTGCTGAGAACCACACCAGGCTGCTGTGACTCGGGAGCCTGTTTGGTTCTGGAAGGATCCAGGGCACTGAGGTTGTGAGCTGGAAGCATCCTGTCTGCAGGGCACCCTCCCGGCCCTGACCTCCCCACGTTCAAGGGAAACCAGACCACCTTTGAACCAAGACACTGATCCAGCTCTGGGCCAGCCCTTCCTGAGATCCCACTGCGCAGAGAGCCACGGGGCAGGCTGCACGGCTGTGAGCCTACCCCACTGGTGTGGCTGGGCTGGACACATGCACCCCTTCATTGAGCTGTCCATGCCCCCGTTTCCCCGTGGAGCTCACTCGCATACTGAATGCTCACATGTTGCGTGCCCACTGTGTGCCTCTTGGTGCTGGGGAGACAACAGTAACAAGACTGAGGGACTTCCTGTTCTCACAGCCTCCTCACGTGTGAGTCAGGCTCGTGGTCTCATGGTGGGACGTGCTCTTGTGTCCATTGCCATTCCTCACGCCATCTCCCAGGGGCACCAGAGAGCGAATGATTCAGATGGCCTCGGGATTATCTGTGATTTCCGTAGACATTTCCCCCATGACCGTAACTAATCACAAAGTTGATTTTTCCCAACTCGGCTGTATCTGCTGTCTCCCTCCCACAGCGTCCCCGACAGGCGAGTGCAATTAGAACCAATGGGGTCCTGAGGCCTCCCGGGAAGAAGGCTGTGGTCACCTGCCAACGGCTGCCCAGTCTCATGCCCTTTGAAGTCTCAGGCTGGGGTGGGGGCACTGGCCACCTCAAAGGCCTCATTTATAGGCCGGAAATGATAGCATCCCTGAAGTGTGGTGGGCAGGGCCCTGCTCACCCAGCGGGCACCATCCCAGGGCTGGAAGGCAGCTCTTGGGGGCGTGGAGCAGCAGTGGAGCCCTGGGAGGTGTGGCAGGGACCGTGGACTCTCACAGCTGCTGGGACCACCTTCCTGCCACAGCACAGCCTCATGTTCCTGCCCTGGGGCCCCCTGGGGTCCTCCACCAAAGGGTGGGAGGGGGTGTGCGGTGGGGCCCGTCCTGTGCTGCTGCCTGTGGAGCTTGGAGAGGCCCGTCATTCCATCCACACCTGGGAGTGGGGGCTGCACCCTCCAGAAGCGCACCTGGTCCCCGTGTGGAAAGTGGTTTGGCCGAGCCTACCAAAGCGGAGATCTGCCTCGGCCACGGAATTCCTGTGTCACCCAGAGGGACGGCAGGAGCGCCCAGCGGCACTGTGATGGGTTGGGAGCTGCCCCGATGACCAGTGTGGTTGGGGCGTCTCCATGCTGAGGAGGCACAAACCTAGCTCGGGGCGTCCGCCACCCTGCGTATTTATACGGTGTGTCTGTGACGTGCTTCAAAAAAGGGGGGGAGAGCTTTGTACCATAAGTTGTGCGCTGGAAGGAGTGATTAATGTCGATAAGTGGACATCAGTGTGTGCTCATATGGGCCCGTCAAGCCATCTGGCAGCCGGTGGACGGGAAGGAATGAGCAGGAATATCATAGATACAACTCAAAACACAGACCTGCTCGGCCAGGTATCTCAGTTGGTTAGAGCATCATCCCCATATGCCAAGGTTGTGGGTTCGATCCCCTGGTCAGGGCACGTACAAGAATCAACCAGTATCTGTAATGCTTTCAACAATAAAAATAAAAATTTTAAAAAGCAACCAGTGATTGCCTAAATAAGTGAAACAACAAATTGAAGTTTCTTTCTCTTCCTTCCTCTCTAAAAATCAATTTAAAAAAGAAAAAGAAAAAACACAGACCTCCCCAATCCCTCCCGGCCCCATCTCCGCCGCCAGCCACTTATCTTTCTGGTCTCCTCACTGTCCCCTTCCCCTTCTGCCTCGGCCTCCAGAGCAGGGTTTGTGGTCACAGGTGCCATCAGTGAGGAAGTGCTGGGGTGGCATGAGGCCAGCGCGGTGCCCACGGGCACTCTGGGCCCGTGTTCCCACAGTGGCCACGTGGCTGGAGACAGGTCTGTCTGGAAGTGGTTCCTGGCTTGGAGCCTGTGGCGTCCTTCCCCAGAGCAATGGGGCTGCCGGCAGCTCTGTCCGAGCCCCCCCCCCCCCCCAATGACACAGCGTATCTTCCAGCCCATGTGGCCAGGCTGTCCTCGGGCAGCACTCAGCAAAGGGACTGGGGGGCCTGGGGACGAGCTGCCCTCAGGGAGTGGGGGTGGACGGCCAAAGGCCAAAGACGCTTCCGGGCAGAGCAGCACTGGCTGGCCTCAGGAACCGGAGGCCTCCAGGAGGTGGTGTTTGCCTCTCTGGCAGGTCAGGTCGAGAAGACACCCCACACAGGCGCCTGGAGCCGAGGCCTGACTGGGCGCTGGCTGGCAGAACACTGGTGACACTGCAGTGGCTGTGAGCAGGAAGGGGAATGTCAGCTGTGCCCGGAGTTGGGGCCTGGGAAGCCGCCTGGTGGCAGCAGGGGTGCCCAGGGTGCTCTCTGATGAATCCCCGGGCACACGCCCATCATGTGGCAGCCCTCAGGAGGAGGGGCTGAGCGGACGACGTGAAGCATGTAGAGAAAGGCTCCATTCTTCCTGGACCGCAGTCCTGCCTGGCCTGGGAGGCAGGAGGCATAGAAATGTGAGGGCCTGAGCGACCACACCCCAGGGGAGAGGTGGGAAGTGGGCCGAGGGACAGAGGGTTGGTGCTGCGGAGCTTGGGGTCCTGGCTGGGAAGTGACCAGGTTGGTCGAGAAGCGGGGGCACCTGGGCTAGCATCCGTCCAGCCAGGGAGAGGGTGAGTGTGAGAGGGCCCCGGGGGTGCATAGGGCCCCACTGGGGACACCATGAGCTGAGCGGATGCCCGTCGCGGGAGGCCCCTTCCTGCTTCCTGGTGGGACTATGCTGGCACAGGGCCCCCAGAGGAGGCTGCTGGGCATCCTCAACTCCACCTCCCCAGCCACCCCCCACCTCGGGCTGGCCCCCAACCAGACGGGCACCTGGTGCCTGGAGGTGTCCATTCCCAACGGGCTCTTCCTCAGCCTGGGGCTGGTGAGCTTGGTGGAGAATGTGCTGGTGGTGGCCGCCATCGCCAAGAACCGCAACCTGCACTCGCCCATGTACTTCTTCATCTGCTGCCTGGCCGTATCGGACCTGCTGGTGAGCGTGAGCAACGTGCTGGGCACAGCCGTGGTGCTGCTGCTGGAGGCGGGCGCGCTGGTGGCCCAGGCCACCGCAGTGCAGCAGCTGGATGACGTCCTGGACGTGTTCATCTGTGGCTCCATGGTGTCCAGCCTCTGCTTCCTGGCCGCCATCGCCGTGGACCGGTACATCTCCATCTTCTATGCACTGCGCTACCACAGCATCGTGACGCTGCCCCGGGTGTGGCGGGCCATCGCGGGCATCTGGGTGGCCAGCGTCGTCTCCAGCACCCTCTTCATCGCCTACTACGACCACACAGCCGTCCTGCTCTGTCTGGTCAGCTTCTTTGTGGCCCTGCTGGCGCTCATGGCGGTGCTGTACGTCCGCATGCTGGTGCAGGCGTGCCAGCACACCCGCGGCATCGCCCGGCTGCACAAGAGGCAGCGCCCTGCCCCCCAGGGCTTCGGCCTCAAAGGGGCTGCCACTCTCACCACCCTGCTGGGCATCTTCTTCCTCTGCTGGGGCCCCTTCTTCCTGCACCTCCTGCTCATCGTCCTCTGTCCTCAACACCCCACCTGCCACTGCATCTTCAGGAACTTCAACCTCTTCCTGGCCCTCGTCATCTGCAACACCATCGTGGACCCGCTCATCTATGCCTTCCGAAGCCCGGAGCTCCGGAAGACGCTCCAAGAGGTGCTGCAGTGCTCCTGGTGAGGGCGGTGCCCGAGGGCTCAGGCCAGGTGCTGGGCAGAGGGGGTGGCAGTCACTTGCCAGAAAGGACGGGCTAGATGATCTCCGAAGGTGTGGGCACACGGACCCTCTGGGCCAGAGAGGCATCAGCAGAAAATCTCCAGGAGTTGTGGGGGATGCAGGAGGCTGGGGAGATGGGGCCACAGGCACAGGGCAGGCCTGGACTCCTGGACAGACACAGCCCACTCGGGGAGACGTCCACCTGCACCCAGAGATAGGCGAGGACCCACTGGGCCCCTGCCCATGGGGAGAAGTCCACGGGCTGGCAGAGTGCCGCTCTCTCGATGAGGACCTCAGGAGAAGGGACTGTAATGAGCAGGACCCGGCCTCACAGGGAAGGAGTGAGGTCCTGTCCCCGGCAGAGAGACGTGTCCGCAGGAGCCGTAGTGGGCATGGGGCTGATCTCTTCTCGGGCTCATGGTGCTGGAGAGCTGGGGGCTCGGCCCATTTGTTTGCACCACACATGCCCCTCAGATAGTGCCTGCCATTGCCTGCTCAGGCAGAGGCACAGCCATTAGTTCGAATCAGTGACCAGCACCCAGGGTCACAGGGCCGGGAAGCGTCTGGGAATAAATGGTGTGCTTGGAGCAGCTCCATTGCCATCTACACTGGCTCATTCCAAAGGTGCTTGAAGCTTGAGGGTGGAGGAGACGTGGAGGGGCCTGGTGGGAGTGATGAAGGGGGAGGAGAATATCCCAGAACCCCCGAAGGACCCAGCATGCCTGAAGCCCCCCAGCCCAGTTGCACCTGCTCTGATGCTGTCTGCCTTCTCCGTGTATGCGAACCCGGCCTCAGGCAGCTGGAGGGTGGAGTCCTGCCCCCGGGCACCTCTATGG